GTCGACATTCGTTCACAAACGGTGAGAGTTCAGCACCCACCGGCGCCAAGAAATTTGTACAAGCTTTAGCTACAAATACTATAATGTTATGTTCATTTAAATCAAATATTTAAGGTTTGTAAATTCGTATTTAATATTTAAATGTTTTTTTTTGTTATATATTTTTAATTTGAATTTTTCTTTGATTTTTGACCATGGTGCAGGTTGTTGTTTGTTATAGGTGCTGCTGCAGGCGAAAGTACGCGAAGGCAGCCCAAAAACCATTCGATTTTCTTCCAGAACAGGCCAAAAAATCGGTAGAAAAGGGGTGGTGGGGGAGGAAAGTGCGATAGGGGGCGAAGCAGAAGCAGTTGGCCAAAAGGAAAAGGCAAAGGCAAAAGCAAAACACAGGACACGGTGGCGCCGTCTCTTGTCGCGTTTTGTTGTTGTTTAATTTTCCATTTAGGGTTGAAGGAGAGAGCGAGACGGGCAGCGGCAGGGAGAGAGATAGTCGGTGAGCTGCAGGGGTGGCAGATAGAGAGAGACAGAGGGAGCGGAAGAGGGAGAGAGCGAGAGCGAGAACGAGAACGAGAACGAGAAAGGGCGAGCCGCCCATCCCTGTGTTTGTTTTTGTATTAACGTTAACGTTTCGTTTTCACCAGCAACAGCAGCTGAAGCAGCTGAAGAAGAAGAAGTTCGTGACGTTTCATTTCGTTTGGCTGATAAGCGAGGGCAGGGGCGGCTAAGAGAGGGGGTGCGAAGTCCCCCGCCCACCCGAAAATTCACCCACCCACTTGCATGCCACACGTTGTCTAGGCAAGTTTTTCTTTTTTTTCGCTCTCACCCTTTGTTCCTCATTTCACTTTCTTCGCTCGCTCTCCACTTTTTACTCAGTAACAAGGAGAAAAAAAACTGGACACAAATATGAAATAACACGACTATTAAATTGACTACAGATATGAAATATTTAAGCCCAAAAAAAGTGTTATCATTATTATAGGGTTATAATTTATATTTTAATTTTAATAGGAAATATTTATAAGCTTGCTAGTTTTTTCTCGCTGTGTCGCTTGCGGCCGCCAAAAGCACCCACTCGGCCGCTCCTGCCTCCGCCCCGCCCCCCCAAAACCACCCCCTCTCGTCTGGCGGCGGTGTCCTTCATCAGGATGCCAACAATATAAAGCCTATTTTCATTGTTTCCTCTCTGACACTTGAACAGCTGACAGGCGTCGACGTCAAAGTCATGTTGCTATTGCTATTGCTACTGCTACTGCTGCTGTTGTTGTCGTTTCCCGGGCCGTTAATTAAATTAAGTAAAAGTAGCAAAGTATGTTCGTACATTATTTAGTAGAACCCTCATTTCTACTTCTTTTTCCACCTTTTTTCTTCGTGCCGAACGACTTTATCAGCCAGAAAATGATATGGAAAGGTGAAGAGGGAACTAAACAAAAAAAAACAGCAAAAAGGGGGAATATATATAGAACAAGATAAATAGAGGGGGGGGTGAAAATGCCAGAGCGCTCACCAACTAAACTCACAGCAAAATACTGATTGTGAAACGAATGTGTGCAAATATTTGGCTAGATAATATTTGTGAAACAAATTTTCAGATGGTGAATTTACGCACGGCACTAAAGATAATAAATATAATCGCCTGGTTGGCTATATAGGCTATAACATTGTTACATCCATTTCGTTTCATTTAATTTGTTGCTAAAACATTTTAATCAATTTATTAACTGGTTCTTTATTCTCGGAAAAAAATGACGGCATAACAACTTTACGACCTTCCCCCAGTTTGCAACATTCTAATTTAATTTCCGGCAAGTCTTTTTCAACCCAAATAAAAACTAATTAAAAAGCGTAACGCGAATAAAACATCGAGCAAACACAACCGAATTGGTATACATTTTATGCATTTTGCCATTGGGCTGTAATGCAAGGAAATACCTTCTTTTATTTTTAGGCGCTAAACAAGAGGCGATTTGCATTAAACGATTACTTTCCAGCATAGAAGGGAAAACAAGAACAAGAACAAGAACGAGAACGGGAACGAAAACGAGAATGAGAAATCGATTAAAGGCTTTTTGCCTCTCCTGCACGTGACACCAACAGAAGAAGGCCTTCTGAAACTCCGGATTCCACAGAGTGGCTGGGTGCTTGGATAGTGGGTGGCCACTGGTGGCGACGGGGTGGGGGGGTGGAGGGGTGGGACACCCATGGCCAAAAAGGGGGTGCGGCCACTGTTGAGTGTACAAAGAGGGCCAGAGGGCCAGAGGACCGGAGGCAAATGCGCCACATGGCAAAACGGGCATAATTGAGCCGTATAACAAGCCCAATGACCGATTAAGCCAACATGGCGAGTGACCCTCAAGTGAGCCAAATGAGTTGAGCTCAGTTCGGATTGGTTTCGCAGTAGGTGGGGTCGTAAAAGAAGAATCCGCAGAGATTTAACCAAGCTCCTGGAATCAAAATCAATCAAGTTTACGGCCAGCGTTGTTGTGTCTTAAGGATTTTGAAATAACTTTAAAACAGTGCTTGGAGGACTCATCTTTTTCGTTGCATACTTTGAGACACCTATCAAATGTGATTTTCAAACCCCAAAAACCAGCTACTCCTGACTTTATCTCCATTTTATCCATCTGCAAGCGTTAACATAATGAAAATTCCCAAACATGTGGCCATCCATTAGCCCGTTATCGCCGATGATAAGAGGCATCCATTAGCAAAAACAAAAAGCGCCCTGGTCCTATCCGAAGTCCTACCTCACCTGCTCCAATCTAACCTATCCATATCCATAATTCTGCTCGCATTCCCATCAGTATATCAGTATTTGCCATCCCATTAACATCTCCGTATCCCCTAATCATTAATCGACCAAGCTGCTTCTATTGATTTTTTTTCCGGTTTCGGGATGTCTTTTGGGGGTTTTTTCTAACCTTTCTTCATTCTGTTTTTTTTTTTTTTGTATTATCGTTATGGAACATTTTTTTGGGCGGCCAGAGTTTTCGAGTCTGCAGCTGGCATTGGAACACGTCAACGCATTTTTACACGCTTATCAGATCGTGCCATATAATGTACCTACACACCTTCGCACATTCTGTGTGTGTATGTGGATGTGTATGGATTTGTGTGTACGTATATTATACCCCCACTTGGCACACATTCCCATACCGCTATTGCTATATGTGGATGTGTGCACCTGTGTACCTGTCTGTATCTACAATTTATCTGCCGGTTTGGCGCTTATCTTATCTCAGGCTATTCGAGTGCGATGAAAACGACGACGACGACGACGACGATGTCACCGCTGAGCGGATGACGAACTTCAATTCAATTTCTTTTCAATTTCTTATTACCCACCATCCATGCAGCCAACTAACTAGCACCTCTTATTTCCCTACCCCTTTTGCCGCCTCCGCTTTCCTCATTTTCTCGCTGGCAACTACCTCATCCCTTTTTGCACTTGGCAAGTACGCAGTCTCGGAAATTGATCAAAAACAAATTATAACAAATAATTCATACATTTCTTAAACTACAGTTTTGATTCATTAGTACTTAGTACTTGTACCGCGAAAACTACAGGAGTTTAAGACCGTTTTTCTAGTGTAGGGCGTAGAAATATTATTCGAATTTTCAGCTGTGCCAGCGCCAAGAAAAAAATAAAAGTGGCCTCTCCATTGGATGGAAGGTGCTGTTTTTCTTATTGTATTTATTTTTATTTTTGCCCGAAACTCGGATAACTTTTCCGACTCAGCGGCAGCGCCACCTGGCGATGACTGTTTGGTTGATGTTGGGTTTTTCTCATTTTCATTTTCATCTTCACGAGGGGACGAGGGGTACACAAAAATGAGCGGTAATGATGAGCGACGGCGTCGTGTTTTCATTAAGCTTCAGAAATTTAAATATGTTATAATAATAATGTGTCTTGGGGATGTGAAAATCGCGAGGAGGTTGGAAAATTTGGTGGGCAAATGCCAGGACATGAAGAGTACAAGTGGCATATACATTGTCTTAGTCCCCAGTCTTTTGATCCTAATCACAGCCCCACAAGTTGGGCGAGATTTTTGGCATACTTCTTATAATTTCACCCACATTCGCAACGACCTCCACCCACTCAACCACCCACACAACCGACTCGCCCCGCCCCGCCCCGTCAGCCCCTCTTCCCCTTTGCATTTGCGGCTTGCTGGAAATGTTAATTTTCCTCCAACGGGAATGGGAAAACGTCTGTCTTGCTGTGTGAAGGAAAATTACTTTCTAAACAGAGAGCTAAATTGCTGTAGAGATTTTCTGCACTTCTTTCATTTTAATTGTCAGCTCTTTAAGTTTCCAACCAAAATAAAGTGTGGCTAAATGTTTGCATTGATATAATTAGATTTTAATTTTATTGACGCAACATTGCAACACCTGAATGTAATTAAACTGCATTTGGTTTTTTGTATGACTTGCATTGGCCTGCATGAATATTAATTTTATTGCTATTTATTTTTTAAATTGATGACGAGCTTTAAGAGATTTAAATGAATTCTATTTGTTAATGGGTGTTTAACGCAGATATTGTGCTTTATTTTATTCTGAATACTTTTTTCATTTTGCACTTGCCATAACATTTGCGCTTAACTTTATGCTGTTCTCTATATGAAATCCATTAGCCGTTTGCTCGTACGATTAAACTAGTTTTAAACAAAGTGTTGACTCAAAATCACCATTTTGATCTAGCTTTAATATTGTGACCCACAAAAGCAATGACCCTTGTTGCCACATTTTAAGCGCACAACCTTGCAGAACAATGAGCTACTGATCCACTGGCGAATTTTGTGAGTTTTGACAGTATATAAGCTTGAAATATAAGCAAACAGAGTATTAGAGTATTTCATAAAAGTAGTTAACCGAAAAAATCAACAATATCGCTAGCATGTATCAGTATTGATCGACATTTCGAACCACCTCTGGCTCAGACGTGAGAAAACCTGTTGGAAATGTTGCCTATTCGGCTGACTAGCGCTGCTGGCACTTACCAAATGCAGAACGGTGTTCACCACCTCCCGGTTGGTCACCTGGCCAACCTCGATGAGGCCGATGAGGACGGCGAACTTGAGATTGTCGGCGGTTGTCATTCTGACGATTTCGTCCGGCCGTTTTATCTCACTGTACGGCGGACGCATGATGTCCGCCATTTTGGTGCACGGTTTGTGGTTCAGATTGTTATGTTTGTTGCACGGGGTGTGTAAATTGTAAATTGCAATTCGCAAATTGCAAATTTATTTATTTATTTGTTTCACGCGTTTCACATGCGATTTAGTTTGTTTGTTTGTTTTCGGTTTTTGTTTTTTTGTTTTTTTTTTTTTGTGTTTTGTTTATTTATATAGATTAAGTTATAGAATTAATGGATGGAATGCACACGAAAATACACACACAGATACACAAATATATAATACATTTACATATATAATAAATATATATGATGATAGTAATGCTATATATATATAAAAAATTAGATATTGCCAGGCAATTGGAGGGGAGGAAAAAATTATTTCAAATTTTTAATTTTTTTTGGCTGGATTTCTTTTTGCTATTTTGATTTTTTCTTTTCTTTCATATATGCATTATTTGTGTTGCTGCACTTTTCCGGTTTTCATTTGCTCTTCTTGCAGTTGCAGTTGTTGTTGTTGTTGTGGGGCAGCAATATCGCCGTCGTGGTCGCTGCTCCTTTTTAGGCTCATATTGAGCAACTTTGGCCGCCGACACTTGACAAATTTTGCATTATTTTTGATATAATACTTGGTTATTTATTTGGAAATTGCACACTTTTTTCATACATTATTTTGATTGAGGTTTTTGGTGATTTTTGGTGTGGTTGGTGGTTGGTGGTGGTGACATACATAAAAAAAGAGAGAAAGAGAAACAGGTACATGAGTACGAAATGCAATAACGTTGGTATTTTCTGAGAACAGTGCGTTTCATGGGCTTAGGTCATACTCGATTCAATGCTTTCTATGTACATACATTATCACTACGATGAATTTGAAATTCACAAATCGTCCTAGGGCCACAAAACGCACTGTACTCGCTTTGGTTTATCAAAATTAAAATGAGTAGGTACATAAAAAACTAAATTAAATTCTTATTTTACATATATAGAGCCCAACTACAAAGCAAAATTCAAAATATTCGTTTGATCTGCCATGGGTAATGTTTTTTTTTTTCTTTGGGTAGCAGGTTTGGCAGGCTAGTGGTTTTCCAGGCTTTTCGTGGAAAGCGAGGGGCTATTTTCCGGGCGGAGGGCGTTGGGGGGATGGTGGTGGCTACACGTGCTTGATGGAGCAAATTTTCGTTCCATTATTCATTTGCTCCTTGGCTGCTCACAGAGTAAAGTGGAAAATTGTCTGGGGAATTTATGTGCATTTATAATTTTCGTTTTATTTGTTACTGTTTTTTTGTTTTTATTTTTTTGCTTTTTTTTTTCTTTTTGTTCTGACAGAATCGAACTGACTTGCATTAACTGCCGGCACGATCCAAAGCCAGATTTATGTAATACCACGTCTCAGAACGTTCTATTAGCTGGAAAATCTCGATCGATGATCGATTTCATTAGGCTACATATGCTCGATGCTCATCTATAGTAGTAATATGTATGTATATATCGGAAACTATAGTTTTCGCGGCTCGTCACGCACTGGCGATAAGACTGGGGTTATTGCCCGCCGGGTTACTCAAGTTGCTGGAAAAGCCTGGGAAAAGCGGCCAGGCAGCCAAGTTCTAAACTGCTCGGCAAACAGCAGTGAACGGGGATAGTTAAAAAAAGAAGTAAAGAGGTAAAGAAAATAGCATACGTACATATATAACGCTGACACACCTGAAGAACAAGGTGTGCTTCTGATTCAGCTGGCGATGGATGGGCCATAAAAGCAACACAGCTGTGTGTTAAATGAAAACTCCTTGGAGGGGGTGTGCGGGTGTTGTTCAATATTGGAAAACTGTTGTCCAACAAGACGGGTACATTCACAATTAGACACCATGCTGCTTGCAATCCAATTCGAATGTGGTGGAAAGCGGTAGAAAACCCCCTCCATACGTATGCATTTTGCAAATACCGAACATTGTCGTCAATATTACATAATATCTGGTCAGATTTTTGAAGGGGGCGGAGGTTATGAAAATGGAAGGAAGTTGCGTGATTTAAGGGGGCGAATTCAAGAGGCTTACAAAAAATGCAGTTCCACATTCTTCCACTACGGACAAGCGCTCTTTACATAATGCATTTTATGATTTAAGCAGTACTTAAGTAAAGAAGTAATTCGAAGCGAAACGAAACGAGACGAAACAACGAAAACAGCTAAAGAAGAAAAACCGGCGTGGCAAAAAAAAAACGGGCAAAGCAACGTTGACTGGTTTTCTTGATATTAACTTTTGTTTTCTTTCAAAATGTTGCTGCTGGTTGGTAGTTCATGTATTTACTATATTTTTCTTATTTGTTTCGCTGCTGTTAAGAAAGAGCAGGTGATTTTACTATTTATTAAATATTGAGTTCTGTCTTCGGATTTTTGAATGCGGCCACTTTGTTAATTGCACGTCAACAGAAAACAAAAAAAAATTCCAATAGCGAGAGCGAGTCTTCATGCGTTTTATTTGCTTTGCTTTTTGGCTTTGAGCTGCTACCACTTTTTGTAGTTGCTTTTTTTTATGACCAACCGAGAGGGGGCAGGGGGATAACCGGTAAGAGAGTAAGCGGGAGAGAGAGAGAAAAATGTTGGTAATTTCGTTACGAAATAAAGATGCAATGCCAGTTGGAAATGAAAGTCACGCGTTCAATCGATCAGCAAGATCCATGGAACCGCCAGGTGAACTTCCTCTCTTTGCGGCTAAAAACAATGTGACCAGAATTTTTTTCAAGTGGATGTCTATCAAAACGGTAATCGGATTGTGATATTTGAAATTCCATTAATCTTTTTACGATTTTATGTTTAAATTGGTTTAGATTTGTTTTAAACCATATCTTTAATCGATAACAAATATATAATTTTTCATTATCAGTAACTTTTCATTTGAGTAATTAAATACAATGTATTTTGAGAATACTCGAAATTTCTTTAAAACGTTCTTAAAACCCTTCGAAACGTAGGGTCTCCAAATTTCGACCTAAGCTACAACTAAATTTCCGTCGTTTTGCCCACGTTCTCTCTTTGTTGTTGTTGGTGTATTATCGTTGTTTTTTTTTACCCAACTTTTTGTTGGTGGCCGAAAGAGAGACAAAATTTGGTTTTGGTGGTGGCTTTTTTTGTGGAAGCGAGGGTGGCGGGTGTAACCCGTTTTGGGTTTTGCGTTTTGTATTTCCATTTGTTTTTGTAATTTCCTTTGTTTTTATTGCAATTGCAGCAGGCGGCCATCTAATTATGAATTGCAGTCACGCCGAGACAAGTTTTTCCTTTTCCTTTGTTTTCCTGTCTCTCTTTCACTCCCTCTCTCTCTCTCAACGCATCGCTTTTCTCACCTATTCAGTGGGAAAAATCAATGAAACGCGAAGGAAATTCTCTCTCGCTACGTTGCGGCTTTTTCTGCTTCTTGCCACTGCTGCGTATTTTTTTATCTTATTATTTTGCACCGCTTTGTTGGATTTTGTCATATTCCAATAAGCAAACACAGCGACACCGAAATGCTAATTGGACCAACTAACTACACTGTGTAGCCGAACGGATTGAACGCGAAACCCAGAAGGCGTAAATGTTGGCAACTTAAAACCAAAAATAAAGTCATATTCAAAAAAATCACAAAAAAAAACACACAACAACAAAAAAATGAGCCTAACGTAACGTAATTAGGAGAGCGTAAAACTTGATATTTACGTTGTTTTCTTCGAGTGTTTACTGTTGTTGTTTATGTTTGGCCGTTGTTGCTGTTGCTTCTGTTACCATTATTGTTGTTGTCTTCGCACATACACAGTAAAAAAAAGTGGCAAAAAAACAAATGATTAAAATAAGACGCGGCGGAAGGCAATAAAGAATTGATTCATAAATTCAAAAGCGCAACGTTCACGTAACAACAAAATACAACCATTTCTTATTTAAATATTATTTTATTGTGTTGAATTTAATTTAATTTTTGATGCCGTGTTGTCCGCAAAATGATTTAATTGAATTATTTCACGTATTTCACCTCCGCATTTTATGGATTCTTATATTTGTATAATTCACGATTCTGGTCAGCGTTTTGTGCCTTTTGATTCTGTTTTCTCGCTTCAGTCCTCTGTTTTTCGGTTTCTCGCCTTATCCGCCTTCTTCCTTCGCTGTTCTTTCCGCGCGCGCTGCGAAAAACAGAGTGAATTTTGGATATGGTTTTGGTTTCAATTCAAGAGAGAGGCGAAGAGCGAACTTGCTCCGATAGCGATAACTTGGATATGAATGAATCGATATACCGCCATTTACAAAAATCAATTCTGCTTTTGCGAAGTATTCACGTGCTAATGAAAAGAGTACATTTATTCATTTGAAACCATTTAATTTCTATGCTAGGAAAGTATTGTTCAGTGGGAAATTACAGCAGTAGAGAGCTATTTCTTTTTGGGAAGCACTCCAATATACGATAAATATGAATGCCAATCGGTGGAAAACGGTTGAAGTTCAAATAATATTTCACATATAAGAAATATACTTAGAATTCCTAAATTATTATAAAATTTGTTTTCTTGGCACCTGCAATGTGGAAGTTACAAGAAAAACAAAAATCTTTTTAAAATCCAAAATAACCAAACAGATATCGATTTCAATTTCGAAGCGATAAGTTTACTCTCTCAGTAAAGAACAGCTGATAGAAGGGAAATTTTTAGTTCTTGCTGCTAGGCGCGTGTATTACAGTTTTTCAAATTCTAACAACTGTTCGAAATTGATGTAAATATGAAAATATTTGCAATTGAAAATACGAATTCGGGACTCAATGATTTTCTGTAGTATCTAGATACATACAAAATGATAATATTTCAACGTTTGACAAAAACGAGCTGGTGGTAATCATTATAAAATTCATATAGCATCAACTACTATGCGGTTTATTTTTTACTCTTTTGCCAACTTACAAGTCATTTAAATGGCTTAAGTAAACTGATTCTGTTAATTTGAACAACGGTTTAAGAAAAGGAGCATTTTGTGTGACTGTATATAACAAACTGGTAAGTAATCAAAATCCCAGTTCCAGTGTGACCAGCCCTGATGTAAGGATTTACGAATTGTTTTGGTATTTTTAGAAATACTGTAGCTTTTATCGGTTCGATGTATCGATACACCGAATATCGATATTGACTTCAAAAACTATTCACAGTCAACACTATCGTTGTTCGTTCCATCTCTAAGCATCTGGCTTTGGTCACATTACCAACCTTTCATAAAAAAAAACAAAACAAAAAGGCGATAAAACGCAATTAAAGCAACTGTAAAAAAACTTAACAAAATATAACTAGTGATAAACTAAACCAACTGCATTACACACACCCCGCAAACAAACGAAAATGTGATGTTAAGTGTGAGTAAAAACCGATGGAAAAGCGAAAGGAGTGTGCGTGTTGAGCATGGATGTGTGTGTGCGTGCGCGTGAAGTGCGAATAAAGTGTGAAGTAAGGAGGTCAAAAGAGCGGCCCCAACTAAAAAATATAAACAATTAAAATGATTGTATATATATATATTTATATATATTAACATATATGTATGCATGGGAGTATAATTCCAGTAGTTATGAAAAGGGGAAAGGAAAAACGAAAGAACTAGTTCCCTTTTCTTTGAGTGTGCGTGTGTGCTTGTGTGGGGGAGAGGATTCCAGCTGCCTTTGTGTGTGAATTTCATTTATTTTTTTTATTTGTATTATTTTGTTGTGCGGTTATTTTTTAACCCTTGTTAGCCCTTTATTTTGGTAATGTGTGCGTGCGTGTGTTTTCAACCCCCAACAACTTCACCACCCGCCGCCACCCGGCAAAAATCACTGAGCAATAAAACCACCCACTACCCCCAAAAGAAAAGAAAAAAAATCAAAGCGAATTGTTTCCCACTGAAAATTTTCTTCCAAGGTGATGATGTTTTCTTCCTCCCCATCTTGCTCCTCTTCTTTCCAGGAGCAGCACTCGAAAAATGGGAGAAGCAAGATGGAGAAGGAGAGTGAGAGAGAAAGAGAGCGCAATTCAAAAACTGTCGAAATAAAACGGCTTCTCCACCTCTCATCCTCTCTCACGCCCTTCCTCGCCCCCCGCTGCGGGCTCCATTGCACAGTGGGACGCGTAGACTAGATGTTTCGAAAAAAAAAGTTTGCGAATTTAATTACATCTATAGCATAGCCGTTTGGTTTTTGTTCGATTGCATTTGCGCTAGCTTTAATTTTTAAGTGTATGTAATTTTTTGAATTGCTGGTCATAGTTTCACATATTTTGTCCCACGGTGCAATGTATGACGCGCTAGCATGCCCTCTTTCGCTCTCTCGCCATTCGGCCATTTTCCATCCTTTTCGCTCACGCCGCCTGCCTTTGGCGTGTTTCTTTTGTGCCTATGTATTTCCGCTTGTTAGGTCAGCTCATCCCCCCACCCTCCCCCCACCGTCAACGTCCTCTTTTTGTGCTCCCTTTTTGGGCTCCAAGTTCTGGCAGTCCTTTAGGAACAATCGTGGCCAAGACAGTAGAAATTCGTTAAAACGGCGCCCATATGCAAACGGATGCTTGCTGTATTAAGTACGCCTTTAATAGATTTATAATCATACATAATTAAATGTTGATTTGCATCTTTTATTTGAAAATAATCCGTAAAACTATAAATCAAAAGATATGGAGTAATTTGTACAACATGAATCTTTTAAGCCTGATAATACTATTCTGCTGGCCACTGCTGTATATTTTTGGTTTTGCACTGTGAGCGAGAACGAAGTTGTTTGCTTCTGTGTGGGTGTAAGCAAGGGTAAGAAAGGCAAAGAAAAGACAAAAAGGAGTAGGACGAGAACTGAAAAGAAAACGTATAAAAGTAACGTTGTTTTGTGTGCGGCGCAACCGAAAACCAATTTACTTTTGAATATTGCGCGAAATTGCGCTCCATCTTCCGTTCGTTTTCCAACACTTACCGCCGAATGCAACCCTGCGCAACACTCACACACACACACACAAGAACAGTAAGACCCAGGGAGGCAAAAATTCACACACAAGCAAATATTTTTTTGTTATTATTGAACAGTGAAGAAGAACAGCGCGAAAGGGAAAAACGAGCTTGCGGATGTGAAAAGTAAAGCGGGTGTGTGGAAAACGGCAACAACAAATGGCGAACGGGGGAAAGCCAAAGAAAAACTACTCGCGGGGGAGCGAAAATCGGCAGGGAAACACGGACAAGAAAGAGGAAGAATAGGAATCAGAGTAGGAGAGCAAGCAGCAGAAGAAGAAGCAGCGCAGCCGCTAATTGTCTCGTCGTTCGTTGTTGTTGCTGCTGTGCAAAAAAAAAAACCCTAAAAAGAAATTGCAAAAAAATAAAGCAAACAAATTCAATAAAACGAATTGAACGATTAGCAAGTTAATAAACGCAACATAAAACCAAAGGAACAAACAGCAGTGGCAAAGGAAAGGCAAAAAGAAGAACAACCGAAAAGGTCAAAAAATGTGAGCGAGGGAGAAGAGAGACTTCCCCAAAAAAAACCGAAAGAAAAATGGAGCAAAAGTGAAAAACCTGTGAGTGTGTGTGTGAGAGAGCGAGAGTGGGGGGAAAAGCTAAAATTAATTTTTTGTTTTTATTTCCAAGGCGCGCGCTTGTGTGTGTGTGCGAGTGTGGGTGGAAAATCGGATTTCGTAAAACGCATTTAATTGTTAACAGCAGCAAAAACGTGTATAATTTACCTGATTTTTCTACATCCCTTACAGTTAGTAATCAAATTGCACAAAATGCGAGAGAAGAGAGCAGATCAATAATAATAATAATAACAAAAAGGAAAGGAGCAGATGTAACGGTGTGTGTGTGTGTGTGTGTGTGCGAGGCAAACAACAAAAAACAGCAAAGAAACATTTTTAACTAAAATGTGGAGACCAAGCAAGGAAACAACAAAAGTTAAAACAACAACAACGACAGCTTGGAGCAGCGCGGCCAGCAGCGACGTCGACGCCAGCGTCGTCGCATGGAAAGCACAAAAAACCGCATGACAAGGAAATGGAAAATTTTTGTGCAGCCCAAAAAACCAAATGTGAACATAAAGGAAAGGCCGACAGAGAGGCGTTGAGCAAACGAAAAACAAAACAAAATACAACAAAAATACAAAAACGTGTGTGTGTGCGTGTGCGTGTGTGTTTTTCAATCGAATAATCGAAGAATAATAGTAATAATAATAAGAGCCAATGAAGAAGAAGCGGCATTCGAACGAGAACAAAATAAGCAGAAGAAGAAGCAGATGTAATAACTAAAGAAGAAGCACATCAGCAAATCTATGAGAAGAAGAAGAAGGCGAAGAGGAAGCGGCAACTTGAAAAAACATACAACAAATATTAATTATGGCAGCTTCAACAAACTAAATTCTGTAGAAGAAGAAACAAAAGACGCCCAAAGCAAGATTTTTAAATAGAAAGCTTAACAGAAAAGCAAACTTTGGCAGCCAAAAACCACAAATAAATTGTAAGTATAAACAATACCAGCTTTCCTAACTTAAAACAAGTTCATGTTTCACTTATTTTCCAAAGTTTTGGATAGTTTTTTCATCATTATTCAAATTCTTTCGTTTTCATGGCGCTTTATTTAATAACCGACAATTTGGTGATCAAAAACATGAATGAAGATAGGTTTAGATCGGTAGATTATCTGGCAGAGTTCATGATATTTTTCTCTTTTAGGCTATCAATATTGAAAACCTAGCTGAAGGTTTACGCCAAACCAGGCGCCGCATCCTGAACAGCTCTTCAAAGAAAGTAAGTTAACAACTACAAGCCATAGCCAAAATTGGTATAATCCATATGTGTGTTTTTGATTTGCAGATAAAAAACAGTAAAGGAATATACACAATATAGTATATCGCTGCCATGGCCAGCAGCGCGACGAACGTCGACGGCGGCAGCGGGACGTCGACGGCGCTGCCATCGCTCTTCCCCGCCGTTGGCGCCGCTGCCGGTGTCAAGGATATGGACGGACTAATGGCCATTAATGATAGCGCCCTATCGCAACAGATCGAATTTATACTGCAGGATGCTCCCATGGAGCAGGACGACGATCCTCACCAGCATTCGCATGTGCATCACCACCATCACTCGCAGCATCATCCTCACTCGCATTCGCATCAGCAGCAACAGCATCTTCAGCAGCAGCAGCAACACCACCATCCGCATCATCATCTAAAGCTGGACAACAGCAGCAACAACCACCCACCGACAGCAGCAGCAGTAGCAGCAGCAGCCGTAGCAGTAGCAACAACTGCAGCAACAGCAGCCACATCAACCAACAACAGCAGCGCTTCCTTCAGCAGCAGCAGCAGCAGTAGCAATAGCCACAACAGCAATCACTTGGACAGCCAGCAACAGTTGCTCATTCAGCAGCAACAGCAGCAACATCATCTGTTAAACGGACGCCGCATTATAATCCAGGCCACGGGTAACTCGTCCGTTTTGGCCGCCAGCGATATCAAGGAGGAGGACGAGGAAGAGGAAGATCCCGAGCTGAACGATGAGAATCTGCAGGATATCGAGGAGGAGGCTCAGGCAGCCGAGGCCGATGAGGAGCCCGAAACTACCGCGCATTTGTCCACGCAAGTTAAGCTGGAGCTGGAAGAGGATGAGGAAATGCCCGACGAGGAGGAGGAAGAGGATGAGGACGATGACGAGGAGCTGCAGCATGGGCAGCTGGAGTACCAAATTAGTGCAAGCACGCCAACAGGTGGAGCAGCGACGAGTAGTGCTACTGGTGGCGCCGCAACAACCGGAGGATCACAGCAATTGGTACAACTGCCCGCCGGTAGTATCGTAAGCACAACCACCCACCGATTGTCGGTGCCCGTGACCGAGGCGGCTCTAGTGCAGCTGCAACGACGACCTGTCTACATAAGCAATGCTGTCGGCGGCCTAACAGCCGGCACAACCTATGTGAGAATGCCGGCGGCCGCCGTGCTCAGTCGGAGTCCCATGACGGTGCTGAATGTGGTGCAACAGGCGTTGCCGGCCACTCAGCTGATATTGCAAACACAACAGCAACAGACGCCGGCAGCGGCGGAGCAGCAATTGGCCTTGGCCTTGGAGCAGCAAAGGCAGCAGCAGGAACAGCAGGCCCAGCAACAAAGGCAGCAACAGCAAGAACAGCAAAGGCAGCAGCAACAGCAGCAGCAGCAACAACAGCAACAGCAGCAGGCGCAACAAGAACAGCAGAGGCAGCAACAGCAGCAGCAGCAACAACAGCAGCAAACCCATCCAGTGAAACATTCAGCATCCAGCTCTTCCTCCACCAACAACAGCAACAGCAACACAAACTCCAACAACAGCAACAGCAATAACCCGCCGGCGGCGACTGTGACCACCAGTTACCAGTGCGTCGAGTGTGTGGAGAAGTTCGATTCCAAGGAGCTCTTCGACATCCATCGCAGTGGCCATGCCAATAACATGAAGTGCGCCATATGCAACATGGTGTTAAAGTCCCTGAAGAACTACGAGAAGCACTGCCTGCGCTGCAAGCCGTACGAGTGCCAGATATGCGGTCGAGTCGTCCGTTTCCGGCCGAACTTCATCAAGCATATGCGAGTCCATACGGGCCAGCAGTCGGAGCGGCATAAGTACAAGTGCGAGGTGTGCCACAAGGAGTTCATGAGCTTCGAGTACTTCAAGGTGCACAAGAAGATCCACAACGAGAATGTGAACCTGACTTGCGAGATTTGCGGCAAGGTGTTCAGTGCCCTGGCATCGCTGCGCGGCCATTCCAAGCTACATTCGGGGGTTAAGCTGCACAAATGCGACGTATGCGGCAAGGGTTTCGGACAGCGCTACAACCTGAAAATTCACGCCAGAACGCACACGGGCGACTTCCCCTTCGAGTGCAAGATCTGCAAGAAGAAGCTGCACACACAGTCCTCGCTGCAGACGCACATGCAGGTCCATCTGCGGGATCAACCTGGAGCAGTTGCGGCCGCCTCAGCTGCCGGAGCAGCTTCCTCGAAGGCCAGCAATAGCAGCAATTCGAGCAACAGCAGCAATTCCAGCAGCAGCAATTCTAGCAGCAACGGCGGATCGGCAGCGCTGGCGGCAGCCACAACGACTACAATTGTCAAGCTGGAGCCGCCGCACGAGATGGAGAGGCCAGGCACCAGTAGCAATCAGCAGTTGCAACATCCGCAACACCACCAAATGGACCTAGACGATCAGTCGGGACTGAGCGGGGACGAGGAGGATGGCAGCGGCGGCGGTATGAATTCCTCCTCGCATATTGTGAACGCAACCACCAATCGCTTGACCACCGGCGAGGACTCATCGGAGTCCTCGAATGCCTCGCTACACCTGAACCAGCACTCCTCCACCTCATCCTCGCCAGCCTCGCAGCACCATGTGTCGTCGCACCAGCAGCATGTGCATCAGCAGCAACAGCAGTCGCAGCAGCAGACGCAGCAGCAATATCTCGTATCGGCACCAACTCGAACGATCGTCATTAAGAACTACATGCAGCAGGGATCCCAGCAGCAGCAGCAGCAACATACCTCCGATCCAACGCCCGTGCTGCATGCACAGGTCATCCAGAGCGGTGCAGGCACCAGCAACGGCAGCGGCAACACCTCCTCCACCAATAGCAGCAGCAACAGCAGTACCAACATTGTCACCAGCAACTCTGGCGGCAATCTCAGCAATGGCTCGCAGTTGATACGAAAGACGCCGATCATTCACCATTCGACTGGAAGCAGCAATGGCACCGTTGGCTCCGCGCTGACCAGTGTGGTGCAGCAAACAGGTGGTGAGTACTTTTGCCTTTTTGGCTTACTTCAAAGGGTTTGAAGTAGCCAGGCGTCTTGAAAGCGTTCGTTATGTAAAACAAAACAAAAAAACACTATGCCTTGCAGTTATTTCGCCAGCTCAATCGCCATCATCATCCTCGACCTCTTGCTCCTCATCCACGGTGCTGGTTTCCAAAGCCACCGGTGTGCCACTATCGATAGCTTCCTCGGCGGCGGCTGCACTAGGCGGCTCCACTATCATACGCAGCACAAGGAATCACCAGCAGCAGCAGCAGCAGCACCACCAACCAGCCCAACAGCAGCAGCAGCAGCGGGCAACGCAGCGCAACAACCACCGAAATCACCACCGACGTCGCCATCTGGCGGACATGGATGACGATGAAGACGAAGAGGAAGATCAGCCGCAGCAGCCGACGCAGCAGACGCAACAGCATCACCATCATCACAGTCATCATCACAACCATCACAATCATCATTTCGATGACGATGATGACGATGAGAAATCGTCACCGTCCCTGGCCACAGCGGCCATCATAAAAGTGGAACCGAATCTGTATTCCTCGGGCTCTGGCGACAACTCCAACGATATGTTCATCAAAGAAGAGGTCATGTTTGAGGATTCGGCTGCCCTGCATTCCCCGCAATCGCCGCCAAGCTCGAAATTCCGCATCTCCAACTTTGACAGTGATCTGGTTGATCATCATGTTGATCTGAATCATTCGCTGCCGCCGTATGGTAATTTGTTTGAACCGCATTCCATACCGGATAGCATACCGGTGCAGCTGTATCCGGATGATGACGATGACTTCCGACTGGATCATAGTTCGCTGGGTGGACTGCACAACACAACGTCGTCGTCGACCACCGATGGGGACTTCATCAAGAAGGAATGGGTATACGGCACGGGCGCTAGTTCCTATGCCATGAACGGCAAGTTTGATGACGACAGCGATGCCCTGTGCGATGCGGCCAATTTCATTTACAATTGAGTGCAGGCAGCCACTGCCGTTGTGGTGGATCATCATCGTTATTCTTATTGGAAACGGAGGAGGCATCCGCGTCATCACGTCAATCAGGTGTTTGATGAGGAGGAGGAGGAGAACGAGGACGAGGACGAGGAGGTTGAGCATCACCAGCAGCAGCAGCAGGAGGAGGAAGATTGGAATGTGCAGGAGGAACTGGAACAGGATCAGCAACGCAATGTTTTGCGACGCGTCCACGATGCAGCCATGTGGAGCTGAGGATTCGGTTTACCCAGATTCATAGCTGTACCACGTATATATATATAACATATGTCCCCCCACATAATCCCCAAATTGACACAACACAACACACATCCAAGAGGGTGAATCGATTTGCGTATGGTGCAATAACCAATTTATGAAGAATTCTAACTAATTTCGCTGTCAAAACTTTAGAGCTAATTACGTTTTAGAGCTGCTCGAATCAGAAAGAGGTTTTATTCATGCAATAGCCACAGGGACATTGTCTAGTATATGCATAGGCATCAGGAAAATATCAACTTTATGGGCGAAAAAGAAAAAGGTACTTGTGTAATAGGCTTTTGTAATGGGCTTTAAAAACATAGATTCTTAGGAAAATTAGTTTTCAGTGATTTATCAGCTGGTTTTAAAGTATCTGGTATTATTCAAAAGAGAACAATGTATATTTTTTTTTTGAAAATCCCCAAATTATAGTTTTATAATGACATTTTGGATCTTCCCAAAGGAAAGAAACAAATTTGGGGTTTTTTTTGTTTGATTAAGATAAAAAAGTTAAGGTTTAGCCTAAAATCAATATTGTATTTAAAGTTTCCAAAGCCAAATTATTTAGAATTATCCATAGAAGACTCTTCCAAATTGTTCTATTTTACTTTTTTGCAACGCAACCAGGTCGAGCCACCCTAATATTTATACATATATATTGCTAATATATATAGAACACATACTTATCCTATATGTCCACCATATAGACAATTTGCTATCTCTGTTGCGCTCGTGATGATCTTATAACGTGATCTTAAGTCTAAATCAATGTGTAAAATGTAATGTTTGTTTTTCGACTTGCTTCCGTTCAAACCTATGTATTCTCCAGTGTGTAATATTCCTCCGTTTCCGTTTGTTGTAGTTGTTTATCTTGTCTCTCGCTCTCTCACTCTGTGTGTCTCTGTCTCTGTTGCTCTCGTGCCCTCTCTGTCATTCTGCCCGTCTCACTCTGATCTGTTTATAAGAAATGTGTACAATTTTCGCCCCACTTTTAGTGTAAAAAAGAAGAAAATCTCAAATGAACTTGTAACTTGATGTGAAACACGAATTGTTTATTATAAGTTTTAATTTTTACATATCATTTATCCTTATTGTGTACTTTAATCTCTGTTTTAACTTTCCGTATGGCTCAGCACATTGTATTTTCTATTGCGAACCCTAATTTTAGTTGTATAGTTTTGCATTTGATCTCTCGGCTTTAGTTTTTGCATTCAAAGCGAAAGAAAATTCAGTTCCTGTGTAATGGCAAAGATAACTTGAGAAATTGTATTATAATTTAAAGGACTAGGCAATCAATGTGCTGCTTTCATTCGGAAAGATTTACGTATGAACCATATCTCTGTCACTCGAGGATCCTACAGTATTGGCTCCAAAAACCTAATCAAAACAAAAAAAGGTTAAATTAAGTGAAAACCCGCTTTAATTTTGCTTATCGCTTTTTTATTTTTGATTAACACTTTGCTTTCAATTACCTAAACCGCAGTATTTGTTTCATATAATTCGAGAATCCGTATAGATTTTTTGCATAGTTAGTTTGTAAAGTGTTAAGATATACATATATATATATAAATTTTTTTTTTTGATTTTTATAAAACAGTTCTAATGTGCAATCTCCCCCCATCACTGAACTTTGACCTCTTCCTCATCTTCGCTCGAACACATTGTGGTTTCCTTAATTAGTTGCTAAGTACCCAAGATAAACACACGAATACATTAAACACCCACACGATACTTGATTATGATTTGCATTACTATATACTATAGATAATCTGTAGCTAAGTGTAAGCCTAATTTTTGTGTAGTCTCTAAGCTGAAAGAGCATGCTTTAGCTTTAGCTTTACCCTAACATACGAAAATGCATAAGCATACGAATATATAATATATATATATATATAGCCGCTGTACAATTACTTTATCTTTAGCATTAACACTTGAAAACTTTTAATTTGCATTTACATCAACTATTGTTTGTGTATTCTTTTCGTTTTTTTTTCGAAAATTAAAAATGATCTAAAACAAAGATATATACATATATATATATAGCCATCAAATATATATATATATATTTATATATATAGATATAGAGATATATATCTGGATGGGAAATCGGATACAATAAAGGAGGAGAAAAAGATCCACATAACAAAAACTTCTATCAAAGCATTTAATGTTAACAACATATTGAATAAAATCTATATAAATTAATTAATTAAATTATAAATGTATAACAAAAAAGTTAGCCAACAATTGTAAAACGTAGCTGAAAAAGTACACTTGTTTTTTTTTTCTGTGTATAGCATGGAAGGAAAAGCATATTTAATCGATTTTTTGTTTATGAAGAAAGTTTTCTTTTGCTTTTTTGTGCTTAATAATAATAATTGTTGTTGCTTGCCAATTTTGTTTGTTACTAAAAATATAATATTTATATAACAAGAGCCGTTAATCATAAAAAAACACACATACACTCACACATAGGCACGTGGTAAAGCTCAAAGGTAAAACGCGCAAAAAAATGTTTTTGTTTTCCAAAAAAAAAAAAATGAAGTTAATTACGGATTTGTCTTCCGCACGAGTTAGAAGTTCAATTTGAACGATGTACAAATTTCCAGTTTAGTGAATCGATAACCAGTTGAAGTAATCGATAAACAGTCGATAAATTCGATAACCAGTTGATGATACCATTGGTCCGCCCCATTTCCACGCGCTTTTCGCGGAAAACACTGAATCTTAGCAAGCAATTAAATAAAGTTGATATCTCGATTTGAACGGTGTAAAGATTTCCAGTTGTATAAATCGATTACAAATATATGAATTCCGATATGCCCCTACCCTTCTCCCTGAATTTTGGGAAGCAATAAAAACGAGACAAACAGGTGGGAAATCCTCGCGAAATGCCTCGGAAAACTCATCGTTCACTGCCCCACACGCCTTTTCTCACGCCCCCTATTCCATACACTGAGAGCAATCAAGTGAAATCGAGAAAAAGTTATCCCAAATCGTTTTTAGTTACACCGAAAAAAATCAAGAATAGATGCGAATTTTTGTACATTTGCAGAGAGAAAAAAAAGTATTGTAATATTGAATCCAAAACCAAACTCCAAAATATACTATTTTATATACCAAACAACAAATGGATAAAAAAAAAACGATGATTAACAAAAACCCAACAACTTTGCACCACAACAACAACCAACTAAATTTTTAAAAATTTAATCTCAACGACTGCGCACACAACAACAAACAAATTTTTTGTATTATATTAAAAAAAAGGAAAAAAGAAAAAAAAACGTAACTTTAAATAAGATCGAAGAGAAAACGGGTGAAGCGAATGATAGAAAGTAAAGTGAAATATTTTTTTAAGTGTAAACCAGGCCAGTCAAAGGCTTGGGCGCCAAATTTTCTGCAATAAAAAATCTTTAATATAATAATATTGTAAACTTTATAGTGTACACATACAAAAACACCGTAAATTAGGATGGAAAATGGATGTATAATTGTGAAGCCAAGAAAAGTCCAATTAAGAACACATTCACACAATTTAAATGTGGTTTAGTTGTCGTTTTACTACTTATTTTTTTTAACATAAAAGTACCTAAAAATCAAATAATTGAGAAGAGAAAATTAATAACTAATTTCTATGTGTCTCCCTTGTGTGTAACTTTGCAAAATCTAAATTCTTGAAAGCAACAAAAAAAAAAAACAAAAATAACACATAATCATATTAACACCAGAAAAAGGCAACAAATTAATATTATAAAAAAGAAATCGTAACTAAGCAAGATTATAATTATTTTTAAAGGGATATCAATTTGTTATGCACAAAATATATATGCAGAGAGCCAACTTTTTAAGTTACGAATTTGTTAAAGGATCTAAGGCGTAGAAGGAAACCCGACTTTTTAAAGCATTTTCGAGAAATATTGAGGGAAAACCGAACAATTTCAATCTGAACAACAACATAAAGCCCACGAAAGTATATATATTATATATAAATAAAGGTAAATAAATATATTTAAATAAATTATCTATAAACAGAAACGGTAAAGTAAATTAAACAAATCGTATTTATACACTATGAATGTCTAGTCGTATTTTCAGTATTATGTAAACCGCCCCTCCCCCTCTCCCTCCCCCACCCCACCCAAAAAAAAAACAGCGTAAAAATATAAAAACTAAAAAAAAAACTAGAAAGCTAAGCTAAATGAATGTGAAGTGAAAAAACAAATTTTTGAAAATGCAAACTAAAAGCAAAAATAAAAGTATAAATCAGAAATTATGTGTGTAGCGTGTACAATAAAACAGAATTAACAAAATATGGTAAACAATTTTTAGAAGCATTTTTAACACATATGGGAAACCAAACTTAACGTTTGCATAACGACGATGAAGTGCAAGCGCAAAATTAAACGAAATGTGTCTGTTTTTAGTGTTAGATTCGATGTAAGCGAAACCACAATAAAAAACATAACAGGATATATATGTATACATATATATATACATATATATATATATACATATATATATTATGCATAAAGATCATTACGAATTACTAAATCAATGTGTGTAAACAAACGGAGAAGAGATTTTAAGAGGGAAAGTGTGTTTAAGTCCGTTCATCATTATGTTCACGTTCTGTTTTCGATACCCTGACATAAATTCCCTGGCCAATTGTGTACACTTAATTATAGGTTTGGATAGAACCATTTAAACAAATAGTTGGTTCATGGGCTTTAAGTCGGCGCATTGGTCGCGTTTAGTGGAAAACGCGAGTTGTATGTATTTCAAGATATCTATATTTTTTTATTACCCTTAGTTATTGTGTATGAAAAAAAGCAATTAATATGCAAAAAAACAAAAAAAAAACGAGTATCAAGAAGTATGTTTAAATGATTTAATCTTAGTACATAATTTAATTAACCATTATAATTTCTCATTTATTTAATACACATTTAATGGATTTTTATTTCCTAATTTAACACCAACAAAAAAGAAAAATATATATTTTGTCAGAGTACAATTTGTGTTTTGATTTATTCATGTATTTCACTTTTATTCCCAGACGGGGTGGTTCATATCAGATATAGTGTATACAACTATTTGTATAAATATCTTGTCTGCGCATATAAATGTAAAGTGAGAAAGTTGTGTGGAAAGCAAAGCAAAGAATATGAAATTCAAAATTACAAATTGGCGCAATTTGCTCAACATATTAAGGGAAGATACCTTATACAAAAACATAACATTAATCACATTTCACAAGAAGTTAGTTTCCCTGTTTTCCGTTTCCTTTAATTAATAGTGGAAATTTTAATGAATTTAGTTTAACTAAAAAAATCGAAGTAGCCGAAGCAAAGCCATTTAAAACTACTCCAAAAAAATTAAATAAAGAACAAAGAAACACATATATTCAAATTCATGATAATAACAGAGAATAACTAAAAAACAGAAAAAGAAATGCATAAAACCGAAATGAAACCAAAAAACAATCTAGATTTTATTGTAATTCCGTGTCTGTGTGTGTATTTCAGTAATTAATGTAAAAAATATAAAAATTAAAACAACACAAAAATCTAACAATAAAATCGACAAGAGCAACTTGAAAAATGGAACAAAAATCCGAGCAAAAAAATTGTAAAAAAAAAAATGCAAACCTCTGAAAAAAAACAAACACTGAACATAAAAAATGAAGGACAAGACATAAAGAAACTAGCGAAATAAATAAAATACAAAATATTTGAAAAAATCCATCGTTTTCCATTTTCCATTTTCTGGAATACAAGTGGCTAGGATTTTGTACCTTTTATAATTTTTTTAATACTTACCATACCATTTCAAAAATGAAATTCATAGCTTATATTTGATTTTTGTCATATGTATTATTTATTAATTAATTCGCTTCTCATAATCTTTATATATAGTATACATAAGTGATAGATTAAAAAAAAAACTTTTTCATTATCAACTAAACTTTTTTGCTTTCCATTCAAATTTTGTTATATATTTAATATATTTTTATATTGTTTTTCTGGTTCATTTCGCATAAAATTCGATAAATATGATAATGAAAAAAAATTTGGAATTTTTCATGGAAGTCTCAGATTTTCATTGATCAAATTTTCCGCTGCCGTCCTTTTTCAAGTTCAAGATATTGCCTAAACTAACTAACTTAATTTAAGTATACATTTAGGTGTACGTTGTGTGCGTGTGTGTGTGTGTGTGTGCTGAACTGATATTTATATATGTGTGTAGTTGTGTGTGAGTGAAAGTTTTCTAGTTAAGAACTAAGTTAGGTGAGGGAGGAGATTGAAACAAGGACTCCTCATTGCCAAGCTTCGATTTGCTCCCTCGTTCATTCTTCTTCTCCATTTTCCATTTCCATATC